CAATCTCTCCAGTCAACCAGTCATTTTCCCAATCAGCCAATCCCTATCCAATCATCTCCAGTCACCTCCAGTCATTTGATTGGCAATCGGTGTACACATTTTTGGGGAGTTGCGGCCCCCTCGCATTTAGCTTACTTTAATTGAATTTTCTTTTAAATTTGAATAAAAACCTGTCGTTTTCGATCGGGATTATATAGGTGGGAGGTAAATACAGCCTTAGACATGTAAAGTTCCGAACATTTCACCCAGAAATATCGAATTTAGCCTCGGAGACACGATTTTGCACTCTATCGTGGAATCACCCTTATAGGTGCAGTACCACGGTGCCCTGCGGTTGTAAAGGTAGGATCAGGTGTGCTGAAGTTACAAGTGTAGCACGGTAGAAACAAGCACTGGGATTCCCAGGAGTTTTCTGCATTTACCAGGCGAACTGGAAAAGCCCCAGGGGATGCCCTGGACACGTGCCTTTTCCCCAGGGGATGTTCTGGGTTTCCCAGTAGCTCCCCTGGGAATAACTGCTTGTTTCCACGGCATCCAATGGGGTAGTTCCAGCTCTCCTGGGAATCCCAGGACTCGTTTTAACCGTGAGGACACCACGTGTCCTACGGTAGGGCACGGGGCGCAGAGCGTGGGGTGCAGGATGTCGTGGGGCGCGGTGCGCGGGACACAAGGCACGGGGTGCGGGGCTGCAGAGCGCGGGCCATGGGGCGCCGCCTCGTGCCGCAGAACAAAGGGAGAGTCAGCGAGGCGGCCGGGTTAATGATCAACTCGGAACGTGTTAATCCTGTGCGCTGTTGTAGAGGTGTGCGTGTGTGTGTGTGCGTGTGCCTGTGTGTCTGTGTGAGGCCGCGTGCACCGCTATGTTGGATTACAATTCCTCTTCCCCCTCTCCCCCCTCCCCCAACCGTTTCCTCGTGTGAAGCATTAATGCGCCCCACCCTTTCCCCCCTCGCTTCCCTCTGACCGTAAAAGGCGCATCAATTTCTCATAGCGGGCTGAATGTTGTGCGCGGCCCTGGGTGGCGGCGGGCTTGACGAGGTGGCGGCCCGGAGCCCGGAGCCCGAAGCCCGATATACGGCTCAACGGGCGCGAGGGCAGAACGCGTCCAATTATGTTACCGCGGTACGCGCGATGTTCTCGCAGTTTGTTGTTGTTGTTGTTCGTGGGTTGTTGTTGTTGTTTTTAGTGTGTTTTTTTTTTCACACCTCAATAGACCCTTATAAAGTTTTAAGGGGACCGCGGCGTTCCGTTCTCCCATTTTCCGCTGCATTTCTGCACAGGCGCGCACCTAACCCTAAATGCAGAAAAAACTTTGAATTTCGAAAAAATAAAATATGAGCACCACCACCAAAAAAAAAAAGGATAACGCGAGGAATGATGGCGTTCAGTTCAATACGACGCAGCTCTCTACGTCATCCTCCTGGAAGTGGAGCGGCCTTCGGCGGCCCATTCCGTGCGCCGCGCTGGTGCTTTTGTCTGGGGATGTGGTGGAGGGAAAAGGCAGTACACCAGCCGCCGCAACA